GCACCGATCTCCAGTATATTATGCTGGAACTTTCCGTGTTGCAGTAAAATAGTGGCTATTTTTTAATGATTTTGCAAACGCTGGTTATTTTTGAATGACCAATCCGAAAACTGGCTAGCCCGTGCTATTTTTACATAGAAAACGGGTTAACCGACAGATAATATGGATATCAATGTTATCAATGACTTCTTGAATATGATCACTTTTGGGAGAATTCCTAATCTCCTAAATTTGAGTCTTTACAAATGTAAAAGTTAAAACCATTGGTTATCCATTTTTAAATGGATAATATGGATCTTATCTACATTTGATCCATTTTTAAAAAAGTTCATTATCCAATCCATTTTTAGTGAATAATATGGATATATAACTGTTTTTTTGTTTATTTTGCCACCACTAGTCTGAATAATGATCTTATTTTACAGTTACATTAAAAGATTAATTGAGATTAGAATTATAGAACTAAAATTAAAAGGTTGATTTAACCTTTGAAGTTCTCTATAATCATTTCCTTTGGGAAGGTGGGTGCTGGTAAGAAAGGGCAAGGCTCACGATGGAAGTTTCCAAATTTAGGCTGGACTTGATCACATAATAGTTCTTTCCTAATTTGGACTTCCCAAATCAAGATTAGAGGCCATAAACCTATCATCTTAATTGTTAATAAATAAATTATAAAACGTATCATAATTGTCTTTTGCATTCCGTGCAATTATCTTGGTCATGTCGTGACCCCTTAAATTTAAGACATGATTAGACGTGAAAAACTCTCCTATAATCCAACTCTAGTTAGTCGAATGTTGATACTTACACACTTTTCTTTTCTTTTCTTTTTTATGTTGCAAAATAAATAAATAACATCTTCCTAAGTATATGTTACAACAATTTAATTTTAAATGTTCTCCTCTAATTCTAAATGATATGTTTTTATAATCATAAAAGTAACGTATCATATCTAAGATCACAAGTCCTAATAGTATTTTTAATATTGTCTCAAAAGTTCCTTTTTTCGTTAGAGTCAATATTGGATAAAATATCTTATACAAAATGAAACAAATAAAGTCAAAGTTCAAGCCAACCTTTAGGAGCCACATGTCGAGCATATGGGTAAAGACAACCCAAATATAGTTGCCCATGCTTCCCAGTCCGACCTCTCCAAAGTATATACTTCCTCAATTTATTTTTACTGGCTCATTATATTAAAAATATATTTTTATTTTTACTTATCTATTTTAGCAATTCAACAAAAAATAATATTTTTTTTACCTTTGTTATTAATTACTCAATCCCCAAATTATTTCTCAATACTGAAATGCAACCATTATTATTGGTAAAATTACAAAATACATACTTTATTTATTTTTTCTTAAAAGAAATGCAAAGTCAAAAATAGACCAGTAAGGACCCGTTTGGCCATAAATTTTGCCAAAATAAACTTGAATTTTATTTGGCAAACACATATTTGGCCATAGATTTTGCGTATATTTTAGAAAAATCCCAAATCCCAAAACCATCTCAATAGCTGGTTTTGGGCCAAAATCTTTACAAACATTAATAATTTACATATTTTTCCAAAATAAATTTGGGAAATATATTTTGAAAATATATGTCCAAACATATTTTCATCTTCAAACTAAACTTCATCCAAATCATATTTTTCAACACAAATTTGGGAATCTACGGCCAACGCCTGCTAAAAGTGAAGGGAGGGAGTACAAATTAATTGGCGCAATTATATTCACAGGTCAACGACCGTCAATCGGTTGGAAAATAGAAAAAGATGGACAGATCCATGATACAGTTTCTGTGTGTACATGTGTATGAAAAAGAGTGAGAGAGCGCTCAACTGTACATTAATTAAAATCAAATTTAGCTAACTAATAAATCGTAGAATTCAAGAAAATTCTTCTTTCTTTACATCACCTATATATATATATATATATATATATATATATATAGATAGATATATATTGAAGATTAGCCCATGTTCTTCCAAGAATATAGGTACAATAGTTGAGAAGTTGTCACGTCTAGATAAACCATACTCCCTCTCTTGTCTTGGGATCTCTACTAGCTACAAAAACAGAAGAGAGGAAAAAAGAATATAGAGTTATTTTACTTAAATATGGAAGCTCCATTGTCATCTTGGCCATGGCAGAACTTGGGAAGTTTCAAGGTACATATTGCTAACACCCCTTTTTCTAACAAGCTTGATGACCAACTAAAAAATAATAAGTACTCTACTTATCATTATTTTTCTTTGGTTTTCCTAGATATGACAAAGTTTAGGTGTCTATCTATATATTCAACCTTTAATGTATGGATTTTTAGCTCCTGCTTGGCTATAAAATTTGGGAGTTTTTTTTCTTTCAAATTTTGTTTTCAGTTATGTGTTTGTTTATAAATTTTAACTATATTTTGGCAGATCTTGAAAACAAAGTCTTCAAATCCCGAAAACAGTTCTAGAGAATTTTTCAAGTTTAGTTCTCTACTCATAAAACTTCAAAAAAAATTCGAGTAATATGAATGTCGAAACACAATTTCAACTTTCAAAAATTATTTTTCATCTTATTTTTTCAAGTTTCAGTCAAATCTATGTCCAAATGCTAGCTTAATGTTTTATGTTTTGTTTGTTTGTTTGGAACAGTATTTACTGTATGGACCATTTGTTGCAAAAGTGATGTACTCAAGATATCAAGAAGACAGCATTTGGGCAACTTGGTGTCTACATGTTCTCATATTATGTTCACTTAGAGGTCTCATATATCAACTATGGTCTTCTTTCAGTAACATGTTGTTCTTAACTCGAAACCGTCGGATTATTAAAGATGGAGTTGATTTTAAGCAGATTGACAAAGAATGGGACTGGTATATACTTGTATCTTGATAATCATCTTAATTTACACATACTTTTTTTTAATTTCCATATCATTTGACTAATATTAATAATTATTTTTCAGGGATAATTTTGTACTTCTTCATGCTGTAATGGCTACTTTAGCATGTTACATGTTACCAAACCTTGTTAATCTTCCTATATGGGATTTAAGTGGATTAGTGGTGATCACAATCCTTCATATAGTAATTTCAGAACCCCTTTACTACTGCTTACATAAGTGCTTCCATGGAAATTATCTTTTCAGCCATTATCATTCACTTCATCATTCTTCAGCTATACCTCAACCTTTTACAGGTAAAAGAAATACAGTATATAATTTAATTTTTCTAACATTTCTTGTCACTGAGATTTATAGTTATTAATTAATTACACCTAGTTCAATTCTGATATTAATTTGTTTTTTCTCATTTTTTGGATATTCAGCTGGTCATGCGACATTTTTGGAGCAAATTCTTTTAGGTGGAGTGATTGGAATTCCAATTCTAGGGTCTTGTCTCATGGGATATGGATCAGTAGCTATAATCTATGGCTATGTATTGGTCTTTGATTTCTTAAGATGTTTGGGACATTGCAATTTTGAGATTATTCCTCATCAGCTCTTTCTGGCCTTTCCATTTATGAAGTATCTTCTTTACACTCCAACGTAAGTGAATGCTTCTTCTAATTTCATATTATTTTATTTTATTGGTAAGGAGGAACACGCAGTCGCTACAGTCTCTGTCACAACCTCTGCCACAGTCTCTACCCTTCGGGTGAGTATTTTGTGGTAAGTACTTTGTGGCAAGCACTCTGTGGCGAACTGGGTAAACCCCCTGTGCAATAGCTTGCAAACCACACAGGAAATGTAAATCCCACTAAGCAAGCCCTGTGCGACAAACTCAACCTAGAAGGCATTAAAAAGGGATCGATCTCAGCACCCTCCAAACCAACTGGGCATCCCCCAACGGATTCTAATTTCATATTAGTACATAGATACTCGCGATTCTATGTCTTGTGCTAAAGAATTTATTTATCGAAATTTAATATTCATTCTTTATATTGACAGGTACCATAACCTACATCACACAGAGATAGGAACAAATTATTGCCTATTTATGCCACTTTTTGATGTGCTAGGTAACACTCTTAACCCAAAATCATGGGACATGCACGCAAAAGCAAGCGTTGAATCAGGTAAACATCTCTTTCCAATCTAATAAGTAATTCATAAACAATATCCTAGAAACAAATGTGATTTAATTATTCAACGTATATATAATTTGAAAAAAGAAAAGCAATACGTGTGGTCACATCTGTTACTACAGTATTGAATCCGTCTCATCTTTAAGATAGCAGTACATGCTTGTTTTAGCAACTCTGAAGCTCCTATTGTCCTATTTTAGAAATGATGTCTCACTTTATCAGAGTACAATACTTCTGTGAAAATTAAGTTTGTCTATACCTGCTAGCTTTTGGGCAGAGTGGTTGGAAAGTACTTTGCTGAATAATTTTTTGAAATTAATGTACTGATTTATCTTTGGCTAAAATGTAGCTCGAAGTTAGATGCAGGTGGTTGCTGAAGCCCCATTAATTTAAAGTACTTTAAAGGTTGATTAGTACAAGGCAATACTAAATTTAGAAGAAAAAAATCTTGTACTCGATATGTCTTACCAAATGGAAAAGGTGGATATATAAGACAATAAAATTCTAGCGCTTGCTTGTCACAATATTTCTAGTTGCATAGAGAGACTTGATTTAGTGGAAGAGTACATCTACAATCGAATTAATAATTCATAACTGCGAGTCAGGTATAATTAGGGTATTATCAATTTTAGTCCGCGCCAAAAATTATTTATATTCGGTAGCCGAAAAAGTGTATAATTTTTGTATATAACATATATAATGTGTATATATACAAAAAATATACAAATTTTATACATTTTTCAGCTATTATTTTACAGCAATTATACAATGTCATTTTCTCTAAAAACTAAATAACAACACTATCAATGCTCCTGAATGAGGGTGAAGGGAAAAAATGTTAAAAAGGAATAAAACTTTGATTCAACTTGATTATTGTTAATCATCATAAATTTCTCATTATTTTTACGTTGGTTGTCAAACTAGCGTATATAAATAGTCAGCCAGATTTACTGTTTACATTCTTGAATTGATATACATAGATTATACACATTTATACATATATTATACTGCCATCAACTAGTGTAAACGGCTAGGTAGACGCCTAATTTAATTCTTTCTAATACTACTATATTTCAGGTAAAAATGGGAGGGTGCCAGATTTTGTGTTCTTGGCGCATGTAGTAGACATGACATCGGCATTGCACGTACCCTATATGTTCAGATCATTCAGTTCAATTCCTTTCAGCACAAAGCTCTTCTTAATACCCTTATTGCCTCTCTCTTTTCTTGCCATGCTTGTTATGTGGCTCTATTCCAAACCTTTCTTGAACACTTTTTACTACCTCAGAGGCTACTTGCACCAAACTTGGGTCGTCCCTCGCTTTGGTTTCCAGGTTTGTACGCTTACTATTGTTTTCCCTATTTATTAAGTTGTGGTTTTATGACTTATCGGTCACGGATTCAATCCTCAGAGCCACTAATGCTTGCGTTAGGATAGGTTGTCTGCATCACATCCCTTTGGGTGTGACCCTTCCCCGAACCATGTGTGATCGGGGATAGTTTGTGCATCGGTCTTCCCTTTTATTGAGTTGCGGTTTTCAGATATGAAATAATAACTTTGTTTATGTTGTGAATATTTGTGTGGCAGTATTTCTTGCCATTTGCAGCACAAGGCATTAATAAACAAATAGAGCAAGCAATTCTTAGGGCTGATAGATTGGGAGTCAAAGTCATCAGCCTTGCTGCATTAAACAAGGTATCATTTGCCCTATAAGATATTCGTACCAAACTAATGTACTTTACCATGGTTAAGTAATCAATAAGGTGAAAATGTACACTTACTAACCATAGTTAAGTGATAAAAGAATATGCAAAAGACGCATATCATGTTATTATTGGTTTTGTGTAAACACGAACCTGGTGCATGCACCAAATGGCTAATGTCATTGATTATAAAATAGCATTGATTTTGGATTGTTGTTATATATGCAGAACGAGGCACTAAATGGAGGAGGGACACTATTTGTGAACAAGCATCCTAACCTTAGAGTAAGAGTTGTACATGGGAATACCTTAACTGCAGCTGTTATCCTTAAAGAAATTCCAAATGACATCACTGAGGTTTTCTTAACTGGAGCCACCTCTAAACTTGGACGAGCTATTGCTCTTTATCTTTGCACAAAACAAGTTCGTGTGCTTGTACGTATCCTAATTTATACTCTACTTCCCTTTTAAATAATTTTTTTTCACTTTTTGGCTTAATATTTTTCCATGTCTAGCCCTTTTCTTGGATGGTTTATCAAATAGTTATGATTAAGACCATACAAGAATCTATAATTTTGGGTACGAATTTTCTTTGGATAGAAAATTCTTTAGATTCAACAACCAATGGCCTCACCATAGATCAAGTCATTGACTGTCTTTATAGTTTTGACATTTATGACCATCGAAACCTTATAGAGAAATGTTTTCCAAGTATATAGGGACAAAAAAAAGATTATATATTTACTTTCCACAAGAGTTATTTTGATTTTATGGGCAGTTGGGTGTCGATTGCAATAACGTAGTTTTATACTGTGTACATTGACATGGATGATAAGATAAGCTTTTATAAGTAGTGGTTGGGGGTCCATTTATATCTATGTCTAAAAAAAAGAACAGTCTAGTATACTAAGTTCCCGCGCATACGGAAAAGACCGAACTACAAGGATCTATGTAGGAAAATTTTACAATATGGTAGTTTCTTTTTCCAGGAGTTTTGAATTTCGATTGTTTCAGGAAAAGTTATGTATATTAGGGATAATGTCCTATGTCAAAATCGTGTAGTTTAGTGAGCCAAATTCGAGGTTAAAGTTGTGCATTCGTCTTTAATTTGTACTCGAAACTGAATTAAACTATTGAGGGAATTCAAGGTTGCTCCATTTTATTCAAATGTTTTTTTCATTCATAATCATTTATAATAAATATATTCCATTTGGTTTTCATATATAATATTGCGGTCTAAGCACAAGAATTACTACTAATGAATTTAGTCATAATACTAAAATCAAGAATTTTGAACAATTATTTTCTCAATTAATCATTGACTATTTTATTCAAACTTGCAGATGCTAACTTCATCAACTGAAAGATTTCAAAAGATCCAAAAGGAAGCTCCTGCTGAATACCAAAAGTACCTAGTCCAAGTGACAAAATATCAGGCAGCCAAAAACTGCAAGGTAAAATTCTTATTATTTTCCATTATTAATTCAGAAAAGTTTCCAAATAATTTCAAATATGCTTAAAAAGTTAATGCATCTACTACGAGAAGATCTGAAATTATAAGGATTAATTACCAAATTGTTTCTTTAGCTGACACATATATATAAAAATTAATTGAAAATAAATTTTATATATGATAATCATTATTTTTCTTGCTGTCAAAATTTATGTTACTCAAACTTTCCAAAAATGTTACTGTGTACCTATGTCAGATCTTCAAAAATATTACTTTTGAAGGATCCGACATACACCTGGCGAGCAACTTAGGTTAAATGAAATTGGAGTAATTGTTTTTGGTTGGTGATATTTGTAGACATGGATAGTTGGAAAATGGATAACTCCAAGAGAGCAGAATTTTGCACCAACAGGAGCACATTTTCACCAGTTTGTGGTACCTCCTGTCTTACCCTTTAGAAGGGACTGTACTTATGGTGATCTTGCTGCCATGAGATTGCCTCTAGATGTTCAAGGACTTGGATCTTGTGAGGTATACACATCTTAATTTTCTATCTCTCTTTTTTTCTTTTTTCTTTTTGTTTTCCTATCGATATCCAGTATCCGCTTTGGGTCTGAGTAATCCGGATTCTGGCCGAAAAGTCCCACTTTGAGGATAAAATATTCCCTATCAGAGGCGACTCCATACACGAGGATTAAGGATGAAGCAATACTTACCACTTCAGTCTCCACCACAACATTAAGGTCCCGTTTGGACATAAATTCTCAAAACTTTTTGAAAAAGTTGATTTGGCTGAAATTTGATTTGAAATTGAAAATGTGTTTGGATATAAATTTTGTGGCAAATTTTGAGATGTTAAAAAGTCCCTTTTTCTTCTTTTTTCAATTAAAATGTCCCAAATGATCATGATTTGGCCCAAAAAAGGTCTTAAGCTATATTTGAGATTTGAAGTTTTGATTTTCAATATCTCTCAAAAACTAATTAATTCTATAAACAAACACATATTTGATTATTTATTTATTTATTGGAAAAAACTTCCAAAACTTATGTCCAAACGCGTACTAAATATTGTGGTCAATTTTCTCAAAAACTCCTCTATTTTATTGTATATTTTTAGTAAAACTTTTTGAAACACCCAAAAATTAACCTATGCAAATATATATTTTCTCTGTATTAATTCTTATAACTAAAAGGTATTTTTGTTGGGATAAATAATTAAACAGTATACGATGGAAAGAGGGGTAGTCCATGCATGCCATGCAGGAGGAGTGGTTCATTCATTGGAAGGCTGGACACACCATGAAGTTGGAGCTATTGATATAAACAGGATCGACTTAGTTTGGGAGGCAGCTTTAAAACATGGATTAAAGCCAGTCTCAAGTTTCAGACAGATTGATTAATATGTGATTAAGTAACATGTGGAAATTAATTAAAATTTCCAATTCAATAGTTACCTGAGAAAGTGGTTAAATAAGAATGTTCTTAACATCCCATTTGTAGGTGTGGAAAAAAGAAATTAATTTAGTTGGCTAGATTTACGTTTAGTTCGATTTGTGGTACAATTACATGGCCCAGTATTTCATTTTGTATGTATAATTAAGAATTTGAATTAAATCCATAATCCTGTGTTTCACTATTTCTTTGTGTTATTAGTCACCAAATTCATTTACCAAGTGGAGTAGTACTCTATCTTTCTTGCTTCGAAGTAGTAATAACAACAACAACAATAGACAATCGGCCGAGTAACATGATAAAGTAATTCCTTGAATGATTTTTAAGTGAAATGATGATTAAATAACTAGAATCTAAAGGAAATTTAAAAAAAGAAAGTCTACAATATAATGTTCATATTTTTTCAAACAAAAAGTAAAACTTACAAAGATCAAAATAACGTGCAAAAAAATAATACTATTGACATATCGCTTTTGCTTACATTTTGTTCGATTCAACACCTAATAATAATGCAAAATTAAACTAAGATATTAAATAAAAGATAATATAGTGTAAACAACGTAATTTTAAAATATATCAATTTCAACATGATATTACATGAAGAATTAAAAGTTAAATAAATCTCACAAGTATCAGTATTAAACAATAATCTGATACTAATACGTACTCGCATATAATATAATTATATTATTAATTTAATATAATTAAGTAATAAGTTAAAGTGTTACCAAAACCATAATAAATTTGGTGATTTCGATCATTAGTCAAATTTCCAAATAAATATTTTAATTTTTTTATAAAAAAAAAAAAAAAAAAAAAAA